TCCCCTCACTGGCGTTCGGGGTAGCTCTACGGTGGGTTTTTGGGTGTTTGGGGGGGTCGCCTGGCGGGGGTGGGATCGCTACACTATCCGCCCTTATGGCCAACGCACGCGATATCAAGAAGCGGATCAAGGCGGTCGGGAACATCAAGCGCATCACGAAGACGATGCAGATGATCGCGACCAGCAAGTTCGCCCGGGCCCAATCGAAGGCCACGGCTGCCAAACCCTTTACGGAGGGTGTGTACGAGCTCGTGCGCGAGCTGGCGGCGAAGGCGGGCAACGTCTCGCACCCGCTCATCGAGGGGCCGGCTGGTGGTCCGAAGGGCGAGCACCTGGTGCTCGTGCTCACGTCGGACCGCGGGCTGTGCGGGCCGTACAACGGCTCGATCATCCGGATGTCGCTCAAGCACATCCGCGAGCTTGGGGACGAGGCTCGGGTTGAGGTCTCGGGGCGGAAGGGCGCTTCGACGCTGAAGTTCAACAAGATCCCGATCGCGGACCAGCACACGATCTTCGGGGACAACCCCCGGTACGAGGACGTCGAGAAGCTTGCGCAGAAATACATGGACATGTTCATGCGCGGCGAGGTGGCGTCGGTTTCGGTGGCGTACATGCGGTTCATCAGCACGTCGCGTCAGTCGGCGGAGATCCGCCCGCTGCTGCCGCTGAAGCCGCCGGCGGTCGAGGGTGACGTCAACGAGGGTTCGGGGACGAAGGTGGATTACGAGTTCACGCCGAGCGCGGAGGAGCTGCTCGCGGAGATCCTCCCGCTGACGGTCAAGACGACGCTGCTGCAGTGCTTCAACGACGCGATCGTGTCGGAGCACGTGGCGCGGATGGTGGCGATGAAGGCGGCGACGGACAACGCCGGGAAGATGGGCAAGAGCCTGACCCGGAAGTACAACCGCGCTCGCCAGGCGCAGATCACGACGGAGCTGACCGAGATCATCTCGGGTGCCGCGGCGCTCGAATAGTCCGGGAACTCTCGCGTCCGCACCGATAACGGCTGCGGGGCGACACCGATAACCGGAAAGTGATGACGAGCGCCCGTCCGGGCGTTTGTTATCGATTGGCGCAGTCGTTCCAGGCCGCACATTCGTATGCGGTATGCGCCTCACATCAACTCGGATTTGTGCCATGGCGAGCACGCCGCCCCGCGGCGTGACCCTTGTTGAGTTGATGGTGGCGTTGGCGGTGGTGGGTGTGCTGCTGTCGATCACGATCCCTGCGGTCTCCGGTGCGCGCGGTGCTGCGCTGCGCACGGAGGCCGATTCTGACCTTCGGCAGGGTGTGGCGATGATGTCGTCGTACGCGGGGGCGTCTCGCGGGCTGGCGCCGTTCGTGGAGCCGCCGGTGAGCGAGACGGGTGAGATCGGGGACTTCGTCCGGATCGAGCTGCCGCAGGGGGGCGCGGTGGGCGCGCCGTATTTCGCGCAGACGTACTTCTGGCACACGGCGTTGCTGGCGCGTGGGTACGACATGCACGGCGGTCACTGGGGCGGTTTCGACACGTTCACGGCGAGCCAGTCGTTCCTCGCGGAGGCGGGGTACTGGACGGATCGCGGGGCGCAGCGTCGGGAGTCGTGGGGCGTGCAGCGGCTGTCGTCGGTGACGAGCCCGGCGTCGAAGGCGCTGCTGTACCAGCGGTCGTCGAGCGACGTGGCGGCGAGCCCGGTGGGGTTCGTGGACGGTCACGTGGCGCGCGAGTCGCGCTCGGCGGCGGGGCCCTGGGTGGTGAACCGGCTTTGGGATTTCGATTCGGGCGCGTTCGCGACGACACGGTCGGGCGTGCGCGGCCGCGATTTGTAGACGCGCACTTTGGAAGGAAAGGCCTCAGCCATGAAACACACCCGAACCGTCCTGCACGCCCTTGCGGTGCTGTCGCTCGCCGGCCTCGTGGTCGCCGAGCCGAGCCCGGGGAACCCGAGCAACCTGGACCCGTGCTACCGCGAGGACCCCCTGGACCCCTATTCGAGCGGCGGTTGCAAGGGGCCGGAGGTGTGCTGCATCTTCGACGACATCCCCGGTTTCCCGGGTCTGCTGGTGTTCTGCTGCCACGAGGACAAGACGTGCGGCTATGAACAGGACCCGGACGGGAACGTGACCAAGATCTGCGAATAAAGATTTGACGGGCCGGATCGGCACGCCGATCATGGATGTATGTGGCCTCGTCTGGTTGAATTCGGCCGCCGCTACGGTGTGGCGTGCGTGGCGCTGATCGTGCTGTCGCTCGGCGTTGTGGTGGTCGTCTCGGGGTTGCTCGGGATGAAGGCGCGGTCGGAGCGTGAGCGTCTGGGTCGGATGCCGGAGGCGCCGTTGTCGGCGGACCAGGTGACGCGTCGCGTCGAGGACTGCGTGGATCTGCTGGCGAGCCGGTTCCGGGAATCCGAGGAGAGCCGGGCGTTGTCGGACGAGCAGGTGGAGCGCCTGGCGCAGCGGGCGGGGGCGTGCCTGACGGAGCTGATGACGGGGACGGTGGAGTCGTATTCCGACCTGATGATGGCGTGGGGCGGGGAGCTGAAGGACACGAACTGGTCGCGGCCGGAGCACCTGGCGAATTACTGGACGCGGAACCAGAACCTGTACCCGTTCTACAGCTACGACCTGGAGTCCATGCGGCTCGAGTCGCCGACGGTGCGCCCGGGCGGGCTCACGATCGTGCGGACGGAATCGGAGTACGCGTACGGGGAGCAGCGCTCGGCGTGGACGTTCCCGGACATCGGGCCGGTGCAGGACCACGAGCGTGAGGTCCGTTTCGTGACGATCGACGTGACGTCGAAGAACGGGAACGTGGGGACGGTGGAGATGTGGTGGCAGTGGAGCCACCGCGAGGCGCAGTGGATGCCGATGAAGATCCGGTACTACGCGGACGGGAACAACACGATCCCCGCGATGGTCTTCTGACCCCGCCCGCCCCCGCCCGCCCCCCGGCCCCCGGCCATCCCGGGCCCTCCTCCGGCCCCCCACGAACCTCGCCCTCCCCACACCACCTGATCCCGCCGCGCAAGCCGACCGACGCGGCGCGAGGAATCTTCGGGTTGACGCGGCCGGGTTCGGTCCTCGCTCGCCCGCTCAGCGGCCCAGAGAACAAGGCGCGGTTGCTACACTCGTGGGATGACCACGACGCCGCAGATTGCCGTGAAACCCGGCTGTTTTTCCAACGTTCTGGAGATGGTCGGGAACACCCCGATGATCGAGCTTTCGCAGCTGGACACGGGGCCCTGCCGGCTTTTCGCGAAGTGCGAGTTCATGAACCCGGCGGGTTCGATCAAGGATCGGATCGCGATGAGCATGATCTCCGCGGCGGAGGCGGACGGGCGGCTGGACCCGAACGGCGACCCGAAGCCGACGATCATCGAGGCGACGGCGGGGAACACGGGTCTCGGGCTCGCGCTGGTGGCGGGGCAGCGGGGGTACAAGCTGAAGGTGGTGGTGCCGGACAAGATGAGCCAGGAGAAGATCCAGCACCTCGCGGCGATGGGGGCGGAGGTTGTTCTGGCGCGTTCGGACGTGACGAAGGGTCACCCGGAGTACTACCAGGACGTGGCGGCGCGGATCGCGAGCCAGACGCCGAACTCGCTGTACATCAACCAGTTCTCGAACCCGGACAACATCCGGGCGCACTACGAGACGACGGCGCCGGAGATCTGGACGCAGCTGGACGGGAAGGTGGACGCGATCGTGGTGGGCGTTGGCTCGGGCGGGACGCTGTCGGGGATGGGGAAGTTCTTCCGCGAGCAGAATCCTGGTGTGAAGATCGTGCTGGCGGACCCGGCGGAGTCGATCCTGAACCCGCTCGTGAACGAGGGGAAGAAAGTGGAGGCGGGGAGCTGGCTGATCGAGGGGATGGGCGAGGACTTCGTGCCGGACATCTGCGAGATCGATCTGTGCGACGAGGCGGTCGCGGTGACGGACGCGGAGGCGTTCATGGGGGCGCGGGAGTTGCTCGCGAAGGAGGGGCTGCTGTGCGGGTCGAGCACGGGGTGCCTGGTGTGGGCGGCGTGCGAATGGTGCCGCAAGCAGACGGAGCCGATGAACGTGGTGACGCTGCTGTGCGACAGCGGGGCGAAGTATCTGAGCAAGATGTTCAACGACTTCTGGATGATCGACAACGGGTTCATCGAGCGTGATCGCACGAACGACCTGCGGGACCTGATCGCGCGGCGGCACGCGTCGGGCGAGGACTACACGATCGGGCCGGACGAGCCGATCCAGCAGGCGATCAAGCGGCTGCAGATGTACTCGATCTCGCAGATGGTGGTGATGGAGAAGGGGAAGGTCGTCGGGATCATCGACGAGTCGGACATCCTGCTCGCGGTGACGCGGGACCGGACGAACTTCGACAAGCCGGTGAGCGAGTTCATGACGCGCCGGCTGGAGACGGTGGCCGCGACGAGCAAGGTGGAGGACCTGATGCCCATTTTTCGTGCGGACCGTGTGGCGATCGTGGTGGACGAATCGGGCGGGTACGAGGGGCTGATCACGCGGATCGACATGATCAACTACCTGAAGCGCCAGCTCGTCTGAAGCGCTACGATCAACTTTGAAACAAGCGCGAAAGTGCGCACAGACTGAGGAATGCCATGAGCACCGACCGCAAAACGCGTATCGCCACCGACGTTGTCCATGCCGGGCAGCACAACGAGCCCGTGACGGGGGCGGTGATGCCGCCGATTTTTACGTCGTCGACGTACGCGCAGGAGTCGCCCGGGGTGCACAAGGGGTTCGAGTACACGCGTTCGCACAACCCGACGCGGTACGCGCTGGAGCGGATGGTGGCGCGGCTCGAGGGGTCGGAGATCGCGGAGGATGTGGACGCGTCGTGCGGGGGGTTCGCGTTCGCGTCGGGTCTGGCGGCGATCGGGACGGCGCTGGAGCTGCTCGACACGGGGTCGACGGTGATCGCGATGGATGATCTTTATGGGGGGACGAACCGGCTGTTCTCGAAGGTGCGCGAGCGGTCGCAGGGGCTGAAGTTCCGGTACACGGACCTGGCGGATCTCGACGCGTTCGCCGGCGCGGTGACGAAGGACGTCGCGATGGTGTGGATCGAGACGCCGACGAATCCGACGCTCAAGCTGGCGGACCTGGCGGAGATCGCGCGGATCGCGAAGGGCGTGAACCCGAAGGTGATCGTGGCGTGCGACAACACGTTCGCGACGCCGATCAATCAGCGTCCGCTCGAGCACGGGTGCGACATCGTGATGCACTCGATCACGAAGTACATCAACGGGCACTCGGACGTGGTGGGCGGGGTGCTCGTGACGGGGCGCGAGGACATCGCGGAGAAGCTGCGGTTCCTGCAGAACGCGGTGGGGAGCGTGATGGGGCCGTTCGACGCGTACCTGACGTTGCGCGGGATCAAGACGCTGGACGTGCGCATGGAGCGGCACAACGCGAGCGCGTCACGGATCGCGTCGCACCTGGAGGCGCACCCGGCGGTGGAGCGGGTGGTGTACCCGGGGCTCAAGTCGCACCCGCAACACGCGGTGTACCAGAAGCAGATGTCGGGCGGTTCGGGGATGATCACGTTCTTCATCAAGGGCGGGCTGGACGAGGCGCGGCTGTTCCTGGAGAACGTGAAGATCTTCGCGCTGGCGGAATCGCTCGGGGGTGTGGAGTCGCTCGTGGAGCACCCGGCGATCATGACGCACGCGAGCGTCCCCTCGGAACAGAGAGAGCAGCTCGGGATTTCGGACACGCTGATTCGGTTGTCGATCGGTGTGGAGGACTGCGCGGACCTGATCGCGGATATCGACGGGGCGCTGGCGGCGAGCGGGGCGGCGAGACTCGCGAACGCGAACGCCTGAGCGATGGACGGTCTTTTTCGGCTGATCGACGCGAACGCGAACCGGGCCCGGGAGGGGCTTCGGGTGGTGGAGGATGTGGCGCGGTTTGTGCTCGATGACGCGGTCGCGTGCGCGCGGATCAAGGAGGTTCGGCACGGGTTGGCGTCGGCGCTGGGCGCGGTCGATCCGGGCGGGGCACGGCTTGTGGCGGCGAGAGACGTCGAGGGGGATGCGGGTCGCGTCGTGGAGGGGGCGGGGGAGTACGCTCGGGCGGATGTCGTGTCGCTCATCGCGGCGAACTCGAAGCGGGCGCAGGAGGGGCTGCGGGCGATCGAGGAGGCTTGCAAGTCTTTCAGTGATGCGGACGCGGCGAAATCTGTCGAGCGCGCGCGGTACGCGGTGTATGAGGTGGAGCAGCGGCTCGTGCGGGGCGCTTCGGCGCGGACGCGGGCGGAGTGGACGCTTTGCGTGATTGTCACGCGGTCGCTCTGCACGCAGATGGATTGGCAGGACGTGATCCGGGCGGCGGCGCAGGGCGGGGCGACGTGTTTTCAGTTGCGGGAGAAGGGGCTGACGTCTCGGGAGCTTGCGGGGGTTGCGAAGGAGTTCGTGAGCCTGTGCCGTGAGGTTGGCGCCTGCGCGATCATCAACGATCGGGCGGATATCGCGCTGGTGAGCGGGGCGGACGGGGTGCACGTGGGGGTGGACGACCCGCCGATCGGGGAGGTGGTTCGGGCGTTCGGGGATCGGCTCATCGTCGGCGCGAGCGCGCCGAGCGAGGACTCTGCGCGGGAGGCGATCGCGGCGGGGGCGCACTACCTGGGGGTGGGGGCGATGTTCGAGACGGGGACGAAAGTCAAGGACGGGATCCGGGGTGTCGCGTTTCTGCGCGAGGTGATGGGGATGGATGGGTGCCCGCATGTGCTCGCGATCGGTGGGATTACGGGAGTGAATGTCCACGAAGTTGTGGATGCGGGCGGGAAGGGTGTGGCGGTGAGTTCGGCGGTGTGCGGGGCGGGGGATCCGGAAGCGGTGTGCGCCGACCTGATTGAATCTCTCCGGCCGCACGGTGTTTGCCATGGCGGGTAGTGCGTGGCGGCAGATCAACTGGTGGATCGATGCGGGTGTCTCGCTGCCTACGACCTGTGGTGGCGGGCTTCGTGTTCTGGATACGGTTCAGCGTGTTGACTGCGCGTTTGATATCACGACGTACAAGAGTCGGGATTACTCATACATCCGGTTTCGCACACGTCTCACGGATGAATCGGGAGCCGTCTGGGAGTGCGAGGAGTACGTCAATCCGGTCGCGCTGTACGAACACGCATTAGAGGCTGCTGTCATCAAATCAGGCTGCTCCGATGACAGTCGGAGACCACTCGGGAACAAGCACGGACGGTATCAGTTCACACCCCTGTTCACAGACTGTCCGATGGAAACGGACACTCGGATGCAGCGAGTGCTTGCCATCTTTATGGGTGATGTGATTGACGGGGAGGACCCAAGGCCGAAGGAGGAGCACGTCTTTTTTCGTTTTTTCGAGAAGTACTTCGGCGCAACGCTCAGTCTCTACGAGGTCGAGTGGATTCCGAACGACACAGCACGAGAGACGAAGGGCAACATTCACTACCAACTGGACATCGAGTTCAAAGCCGATGTTGAGAGTGTCGTCACGATGCGTGATGGTGAAGTACACCGAGCGGGTGGCGTGCGGCTGAATGAACTCAATCCGGTCTCAGTGGACATTTCTGTCATGGAGTCGGCGTTCCACAAGCGACTGATCCCGAATGTGCGCTATTCCTTTCTGCCCGAAGAAGATCGGTGGACGCCGGGTCGGATCCTCGTGTACCGGAGACTCGAAGAGACCGCCGAGCCAAACCCGGCCATCCGCCACGAACCCTAGAATGCCCGCTCACCCACACCGCACGGAGGCGACCGCCCATGCCCGTCACGTTTGAACACGCCACGCTGGACAACGGACTGACCGTCATCGCGGAGGTGGACCCGGATGCGCACACGTCCGCGGCTGGGTTCTTTGTGAAGACGGGGGCGCGGGACGAGTCGGCGGAGGTGATGGGTGTGTCGCACTTCCTCGAGCACATGATGTTCAAGGGGACGGCCAAGCGCTCGGCGGACGACGTGAACCGGGAGTTCGACGAGATCGGGGCGAGCTATAACGCGTACACGTCGCACGAGATGACGGTGTTCTACGCGAGCGTGCTTCCGGAGAAGCTCGAGACGGCGGTGGACGTTCTTTCGGACATCATGCGGCCGGCGATCCGTCAGGAGGACTTTGATACCGAGAAGAACGTGATCCTGGAAGAGATCGCGATGTACAAGGACCATCCGTTCTGGGTGTTGTACGAGCAGGTGATGCAGGAGCACTACGAGCCGCACCCGCTCGCGCACCGGGTTCTCGGGACGGACGACACGGTCGGCGGGATGCAACGCGACGCGATGAAGGCGTACTTCGATCACCGCTACTCGGCGGACAACACGGCGGTGGCGCTGGCGGGGAACATCGACTTTGACGCGTGCGTGAAGTGGCTCAACGAGCGGTGCGGGCACTGGCAGCGCACCGGCGCGGTGCGGGACAACGCGCGTCCCGCGGCGAGCGGGAAGACGATCCGGCTGACGGATGAGAACATCTCGCGGGCGTACCTGCTCGCGCTGACGCCGGCGCCGAGCGTGCAGGACGAGCGTCGGTACGCGGCGATGATGCTGGCGAAGGTTCTCGGGGACCCGGACAACTCGCGTCTGCACTGGGCGTTGATCGAGACGGGGCTCGCGGAGGAGGCGCAGGCGGCGTACGACGCGCGGGACAACGTTGGGGACTACTTCGTGTACGCGTCGTGCGACCCGGACAAGGCGGACGAGGTGTGGGGGATCGTGGAGCGCGAGCTGGACGGGCTCACGGCGTCGCTCACGGAGGAGGACCTGGAGCGGCTCCGGAACAAGCTGGCGACGAGCGTGACGCTCGCGGGCGAGCGCCCGGGCGGGCGGATGCAGCGGCTCGGGCGGACGTGGTTGAACCTGGGGGCGTACATGAGCCTGGACGAGGAGCTGGAGCGGATTAATTCGGTGACGCTGGCGGATGTGCGGGCGGTGCACGGGGATTTTCCGTTTACGCCGAGGACGTTTGGGGTGATGGGGCCGGGGTGAGGAGCGCTGCTGCGCAGCGGGTTTGATTGAGACGCTGCGCGACCTTTGGTCGCTTGTGAGAACCCACCCCCAACCCCTCCCTCGGGGAGGGGCTTGGAGGAGCGCTGCTTCGCAGCGGTTGGGTTGAGCCCCTCATCCGGCCGACTGTGTCGGCCACCTTCTCCCTCGAGGGGAGAAGGTGCAGTCGTCGGGGGTAGCCTTGTTTCAGCGGGTGAGAATTGGTTGTTGGGGGGTTCAGCGGGTCCGCTCGATGACTCTCGCGGTTGTTATGGCTGCTGTGTGTGCGGGGGCATGGTGTTGGTGGGGGCGTGGTCCGCTTCCTCACGGGCGCGGTTGCTACAGGACTCTTTGGGCGCGTTCGCGTGTGGTTGAGGCGGTGACGGGGCGGACGACGACGTCTTTGGTCGCGGGTTTGGGTTCGACGTCTGTTGTTGGTTTGTCGGGCTTTGTTTTGATCTCTCGTTCGATGTTGACGGACCAGCCGTCTTCTCGGGTGATGGTGAGGGCGAAGCGGTCGCTCGTGTGGTCGAACTCGACGCGGTCGGTGATGGAGTAGAGGCGGCGGCGGTCGATGGAGCG